TCAAGCCATTTCTACAAAATGTCAAGTTGCAAATCTGATCAAGCATGCTTGTACCTTGAATTACAGGTCCTAAACTCCTTCTACACTCCATAATTAAATTCTAACTCAATGGATAATGGCTTTATTTTGGCTTTTGAAGCATTGTACAAGGAATAAATCCATAAATGGCATAAAGGGCACATTGCCATTTTCATAAAGCAAGCTTTTCCAACTTTATCAGCCTTGAGCCTTGGACTTGTTCTCATGGTGCAGACAATTTCCATAGGAATTAAGCAAACCATACCAACTATTATCATCCCTTGAGATAACTAGTACAAGCATGGTGCATAAGTCTTGTCACTTTTCTTCAAATGCAAGAAAGTTGGCCAAAGAAGTCAGAACTTGTACAACAGGAAAAGGGTGGACTTTGTATCACTCTATACATATTGACAAACATATCTCAAGCAAGGACACGAATGCTTATGATCTGAAACTCCCCCAAACTGAAAAAACACATTTTTCTGCCCAACATTGCAGTTTCTGCAAAATCAAAGCCAAGTCATATTTTGCTCGTGCGTTTCTTGTTTCAACACTTCAAACACCTTCCATACATCCTACCAAAGCTATCCAAGCATTCATCTTGAAACTGTGAGCTCTCTTTCAGACATCACCATTTTCAAACATGAAGGTTGCAGCTTGACTTCTACAGGGAGTTTCAACCATCCACAAGTCCAGCTAAGCATTGGAATAGCTTGAGGGAACTTCAAGGAAGCTCACACGATCCTCACGCCTCACTCAAAGTCCCCACATTGCCATATCCAAATCCAGCTGAAGGAGGTATTTTTCAAAACTTTATCTCTCTATTTAGGCATTCTCAAGCCACGATTTGTGAAGCAAAAATGTAGTCTCTAGCATGGTGAAGTTGTACATATGCATAGTTGTCATTTATATTAACTGAGCTAAGAGAATTTGAATGTTGAACATGCTGAAAAAACTAGGTCAGAAATTAGGGCTACTGAAATTCTCCCTGATCTTTGAGAGTTAGATTATGAATTTTATATCATTGGAATCGTGAGATTCCAAGCTACATTTTTTATGTTGCAAGTTTTTGTTTTTATGCAAGCTATAGCAAGATACAGATTTGAAGGCAAGAACGCGCGCAAATGGAAGCTGGAGGACAGGGATGAAGTGTTTGGGCCTTAGCGCGCCTGGGCCTTGCTCTTTTATTTTTCACACCCCCCTGACTACTATTTGCACTCCCTGACCTATTTTCTTATATTTTTGCATTTTTCTTGCATATTTTATATTTTTGACTTGCATTTATTTTTTCTGAACATTAAAAAGTCACAAAAATATTTTCTTAATTTTTTGCAATTTTATTTTATTTTTTTATTATTTTTTGGCATATAAAATAGTTTTATTTTAATAAATAGAGCTTATTTTCTTATTTATTTATAAATACATTTAATAAAAATACTATACATTTTTATTTTATTATTTTTTACATAAAATATTATTTTCATACATATTTTAATTTTTAATATTTGTTAATAATATTATTTATTATTCTTTGTACAAAAGTGAACAAAAATAAATATTAGGAAACATATTTTCGCTTTTAATCAAAAACAAATACAAAATATTTTTTGCATAATTACATTTTATTGCATTTTTATTATTTGTATTTTTATTTAATTTGCACAATAATTCAATTGGGTTGTAATAGTATTTTAGGGTTTATTTTTGTGCAATATCCCCATTCAAAAACTTGTATCCCCCCTCCCATAATAATTGTTGTAATAGTTTAGTTTACTTTACGCAATTTATCGCATTTATACCATGTGTAGTAAATTAGGGTTTTGCATGATAAGACCAAAAACAAACAAATAGAATGACCTAATCCAAGACAATCAAAATACATGAAAATAACACACATTGCACACAAGAACCCCTAGGGTTTCACCCACTTGGTTGCCTAATTTAAAATGGCCACGGTATGCATGCAAAGTATCTTGGCAAAACAAAACAAAACAAAAGATCATAGTCCCTCGATGACGCTATCAAAAGGTTGCCTAAACAAAATGATCTTGGTCCCTCAAAATGCTAAAGATACTTGGTAATATTGCTATCATGGTCATACGATGACCCACGCCCGTCCCGTTTAACATCCAAAGATAGGGTTGTTTACCAAAGCAATGGTAAATCAACAATGTCAAAGGAATAAAAATGCATAGGAAAGACATTTGAGTAGGGTAGATAGTTCTTAGTTACTTGCTCTCTTCCAAACAATCCTTGCTATTTTCAAAAACAATCACACACATATTTCAAAACATTTCCAAACAACTTTCAAAACATTGGAACATTTTTCAAAAGACAAACATCTTTGTATACATTCTTACGAACGAGAATCATTACAAAGATTGCCTAAACTATGGCCTCTTTCCAAAATACTTTCAAAACCACACAAAGCACCATTTCAAACAATTTCAAAAGCAAAGAAAGTGATCTAAAGAAGTAACTAAGAGCCCATGGAAAACCATGGATGAAAAGGGTGCTAACACCTTCCCTTTTCATAATCTACCCCCCCCCCCCCCCCCCCCGAACTCAAGAAAACATCTCAAAGGTCTTTCCTGTGCTTTTTTACCTTTCCTTTTGGATAAAAGAAAAGTCGGTGGTGACTCTTGCTAACCGCAACATTTGCGAACACAAACGCAAAACCTCAAGTCAGTTCTCCCACTGCATCACAATAGTGAATCAGCCCTTTTGCTCATGCATTTTCTTGCTTCTTATGCGTTTTGTGAGCCAAATGAAGTCAGTAATGCATGCTTACAAGGCCATACCATGATCATTTGAAATGAGAGAGTGTTGGTGATTTGTCCATTTTGAGCGAGTTTTGCATTTTTTGATTCCAACATGTGCAATACCATATGGGGCACGAAATAGTGAGCATGATGGGCTTCAGCATATTACAAATTACCAATGGGCTTGATTGGAATCAAGAAAAATAGCTAAAACTTGAGTTTGCAAGAAATGACCATTTTGCACATTTGCCAAATTTCAATGAAATGCCTCAAATTTCCAAAACTCATAACTTACTCATACTTTTGAATTTTGGCACAAATGAACACAATTTGGAAAGGTCTTGAAAATATCTACAAACCCTTAGTTTATGGTTTTTGCAAATTAATCCATTAAGGTTCCCAAAGTTTGGCTTGAAATTCACTAATTTTAAAAAATGACCTATAATTTTGTAACTTCAAAAAACCATAACTCTTGATTCCTTGCCAATTTGAATATGAGACCAGAAGGAGGTTAAATATCATTCTCTTAGATTTCCAAGCATATTTCATTTGTATTTTTGTGATCAAAGATGAATAAGATATGAATTCTTGAAATTAAGTCTTCATTTTCCAAAATTAGAAACTTTTAGGGTTTCTTCAAGAACAAGCTTCAACCCAAACTTCAATCCCTTTGATCCAATGACCAAAATGGACTTGAAATATGAAAAGTACATTCTTGAAATGATGGTTGGCCAAAAATTCACTTGGTCAATCTTGACTTTGACTGATTTGGGCCAAAATGACCATTTTGCCCCTCTGAATCAATTGATCCACTTCTCTTCAAAATTGATGATCAAAAATTCAAACATATGATCTTCCAAACATATAAAGGCCATGTGCAAAGTTTCACTTCAAAATTCTCAAGAAAACTTGATGAAATCCCAAACCCTAATTTTGGTCAACACATCAGGAGACTGATGAATCATCTTCAAAACTTCAAATCCTCTAGACATCTTGACCAATTTCTTGTACAAAGACCTTTCAAATATCAAAGAAATGTTGTAACTCCACAAATCAAGACATGTACATTGATCAATAGCCTTGCTCAACAAAACCCTAATTTGGCTGGTGAATCCAAAGAGTGGTTCTCCTTGTAGTCAAACACAAACTTCAATCCTCTGATGATCCAAAGAGATGAATAAAGCATCTTGATATATGAAAAAACATTTGAGCTCAAAAGATCCAAAGATTTGGATGGTAGGATATTTCTTGAGCAACTTGTCCATGCAAAATAACCTTCAAGGCTTGAGGAAGACTTGGTAACCAAAGAACTTTGATCCTATCACAATGTATGAATGTAATGCACTATGATGTTCATGATGAAACATAAGCCTAAATCAAGAGGGTAAATTTTGGGGTGCAACAGGACTCAACTAGAGTGGTTTTACCAATTGGAGGGTTCCCGTATTCACACCTGGGAATACTTGGCCACTGCTTTCTATCACCAATACCAATACAATGTCGACCTGGCGCCGACTAAAGTTCAACTACAAGACATGGCGATGGGTAAAAGTGAGGGGTTCAAAGAGTACGCCCAAAAGTGGAGGGATCTTTCCAGAAGAGTCCAACCACCGTTAACTGACAGGGAACATATTGATATGTTTATGGGTACGTCATCTGGTCCATTTTTCAACTTATTGGTTGGGTGTTCTTCATCCGGTTTCACCAAGCTGGTCCTAACTGGTGAAATGGTCGAAAATGGTATCAAGAGAGGGAAAATCCCCATGGCATCTGCTTCCGCTTCCAACCCCGTAAAGAAACCCTTCACTGGGAAGAAATAAACTAATGCGGTGTACGGGGAAAGGGCCCATACCAAGAAGGATAATCATTCGTCCATTAATGTTGTTTTGATTTCAAACCCGACTCCTGTTCAAAGACAATCTTCCAATCATCAACGATTTGAGGCTCCACGAAGATAGTTTACAATGATAGGCATGTCGCTATCCAAAGCCTTATAACACCTGTTAAAGGCCAACTTGGTGACACTGCATGATCCTCCATCCAATCCGAACACTTCCTCACCTAAATACAATCCGAATTCCAAGTGTGCATATCATTCAAATAGTCTCAGGCATGAAACAAAAAAATAATATAATATGAAAGGAATGGATACAATGCGTTTCAAGGAGATAGCTAGGGTTCAAGATTGGAAAAATTGCCTCTCTTCTTCCTCAATCTGTGATGCACCTTACTTCTTCTTCTCTGATTGAAATCAAACAGAACGCTGCTGCTCCTCGTCTCGAATTACATCCCCAACTCGCACTCTCCTCACCTCAGTTTCGATCTCCTTTTCGTCTCACTCTCTCCGATTCTGATTTGTCTTCAACATCAATAAATCGCCTCAGTTTTGCAGATTCGCTCCTTCTCAGTGCTTAACCATCCCTTTCCTCTCCGTCTTATCTCTGATCTCGAGGCTCCTTAGAGTTTTGTTTCTTTAAACCTCATCTCCGGCCATGAATACTCCGTAAATTTCACATATAAAAACTCCATTAGCATATATCTAAGTGAAGAAAACCTACTTGCGGCGGCGATTCTGACGAGGTGATGACGAACTCCAACGAGTGTTCTGAGGTAAATTCTCAAATTTCACCTTCGTCTGATTCTTGCTCTACTTCTTCTCTTCTACTTCTGAACCTTTTATTGACTTCTATTTTGTATTGTTGTTGTGAAATGCTCGAGGATAAAGATGTGTAGCAGATTGATGCGCAGAAGTAGAGAATCGATTTTGATGTTGAAAAGAAGAGTGTAGGATCCGTCGGTGATTCAGAGAGTTGTGATAATGATGATGATGCAATTCGCAGAGGTGGTGAAGATGCTTCTCCGCCTTGTGTTGCAGAGAAAGATTGATGCTATGATGATTGAAGAATATTGGAGATCCATGTTTTTTTATAGAAAGGTGAAGATTGAAGATCAATTGTGAAGATAATGAGGTGCAGAGGGATTTTTTCAGAGAGTAATTTAGAGGTTGAAGAATGGTTATAGAGGATGAATTTTGATTGTATAAGATGAGATTAGAGATGAAGAATGGAGGGATTGATCTAGTGAGTTTTTGTGTTCTCTTTTTCAGTTGAATTTTCTGTTATGAACTCTCCCCCTTTCTATTATTCAATTTGAACTTGTTGTTGCAAAGCGAACCCCAGCTCTTGGATTTTTGTTTGTTAGGAAATTGAATGGTGAGGGTTTAACCGTTAGTTAGGTTTCACTCAGTTGGTTAGGATTGCTAACTCAATCAGTTACCATCAACTTAGTGAGTCGAGTATTTGCTTTTTCTGTTTGTAAAATCAGTTAGTGTTTTAAGTTATAGGAAGTTTGAATTAGGTTTAATCTCTGATTGTATGCTTCGCTGATTTTCTAAAATGTGCAGGGCTTGTGCAAGGTTGTTTGTGTTGTGGCTGAGACAAGATTTTGCTTATGCGATGTTGCGGGAATCAATTTCTTTTGATTGATTCTTTGAATTGAAGCAATTCTTACACTGGCTCTGATTAATGGACAGTTTTAATGTTGGACATGTATGGATTAAGGAAAGTCTGACTGGTTTAATTTTGATAGTTTGGGATGCCTGTTGAATTCCTTTCTTATTGTGAACCGGTTCATGTGAATAACTGCTTCGGCTTGGATTTTCTTAAGGTGAACTTGGTTTATGCAGGTTATGTACAAGTATGAAACGCCTTTTTAGTTTGGTTGCGAGTTTGCGAATCATGAGCTAAGAGTCATGGCTTGAAGGAAAAGGCATGGTCAACTTCGAATTTGAGCAGAGAGTTTGAAGATGGAAGCAAATGCATTTGGGGCATGAAGAAATTGAACCGACTTTGCTACTTTGAGACCTAGTTATGGCACGGTTTCTTTTAGAGGGAAACTTAGGCTTAGGATCAGGTTCATGGACTTTGATTGTAAAACATGTCTAATAATTTCTTTCCTTCATATAATTACTCAAAAGTGTAAAGCAAAATGGATTATAACTTATATGCCTTTTGAATGAATTTGAACGAGATTTGATGAACCTTGATTGAAACCTAGAATGATGTTAGATAACATGAATGTAACTTGAATGATTATATGGAATATGACTTGATGTGAATGAACAAAAGGCATGGCCGTGAATTTAATGAATTCCTTTGTAACTTTGATGCCTTTGCCTTATAATTTGTTCCTTATCTCTCAAGAAATCCATATGACCAATCTTAATACGATTGCATCTTAATAACATTGATCCAATTAATTAACTTTGAACATATTAAAAAGCTTGAATGAATGCTTCCAAAGAATGAATTCAAATTTGTTCTCACTTCTCAGAGAAACCACGATTTTCGAATCTTAAATCCTCATTAACTTGCATTATTAGCAACAATCAATTGAAAGAATAGTCTTGATGTCTTGAATCCATAAGCTTATTCTTATAATCGAGATTTAGTGTTTTGCGATTCAATCCATAAACCTTTGACTTGGTAACCAATGATCTAGAAAGGTTCCATGTCTTGAAGAAAGCGTAATTTTAATTCTCAAATCTAAGTTAACTTGTAGTGTAAGCGATCAAACAAATGAGAATTATAATGAACTTGATCATAATAAGTTCACAACACCTCTCTTATATCATGCCTTTCTATCCAATAAACACTCAGTGACAATATTGACAAACCCAATTATGATAAGATATAAACCCTAATCTTTATGAGGTATATACTGAATGAAGAAACGAATTAACATCAAATCCATAGCTCACAGTCTTATCAGTTATAATCATTGATGAAACTCTGGGAATTTATTTTGAAGCTCAAAGATGGAGAAGATGCCTTAAGATGCTGAAGAATGCCAAAACCCTAGTTCAAACGATCTATGTTGACAATCCTTGATGAGGTCTTAAGCATACACAAATGAACGTTATCACTTTATGATACGGTGGGAGAAATTACTTGAGGGTTTTGCGTTTGATCGCAAATGTTGCGGTTAGCAAGAGTCGCCACCGACTTTTCTTTTATCCAAAAGGAAAGGTGAAAAAGCACAGGAAATACCTTTGAGATTATTTCTTGAGTTTGGGGGGTAGATTGTGAAAAGGGAAGGTATTAGCACCCTTTTCATCCATGGTTTTCCATGGGCTCTTAGTTACTTTCTAGATCACTTGCTTTTGTTTGGAAATTATGCTTTGTGTGGTTTTTGAAAGTATTTTGTAAAGAGGCCATTGTTTAGGCAATCTTTGTAATGATTCTCATTCGTAAGAATGTATACAAAGATGTTGATCTTTTGAAAATGTTTTTAATTTTGTAAGATGTTTGAAAGTGTATGTGATTGTTTTGAAAATAGAAAGGATGTTTGTTTTAAAGTGGAGCAAGTAATTAGGAGCAATCTACCTACTCAAATGTCTTTCTTATTCATTTTCTCTTCCTTTGACATTGTTGTCTTACCATTGATTTGGTAAGCAACCCTATCTTTGGATGTAAACGGGGCGGGCGTGGGTCATCGTATAACCATGATTAGCAATGTTGCAAGGTATCTTAGCATTATTTTTTAGGGACTAAGATCATTTGTAAGGCAACTTAGATAGCGTCATCGAGGGACTATGATCTTGTATTTGCTTGTTTTTGCTAAGATACCTTACATGCGTAATATGACCATTTTTGTAAGGCAACCAAGTAGAGTAACCCTAGGGGTGCTTGTGTGAAAGTGTATTATTTTCATGCTTGATTTTGTCTTGAATTAGGGTTTTCTACTTGATTGATTTTATTATTTCCATACAAACCCTAATTACTAGCATTTGCATATAATGCGATAAATTACGGAAAGTAAAATTACTACGCTATTACATCATTAGGTCAGGGGGTGTACAAATTACAAATGGGGGTTGCAAAAAAATATAAACCTAGTTAGTCTATTACAACCATATTGAATGGGTATTGATGTGCAAAGATTTAAATATACAAGATGAAATAAATATACAAGAAACGTAATTGTTAAGAAAATGGGTATTTTGGATTTTTATGAGAAAAAGGGAAATAATTTTAACCTAATTAATTAAATAAAATAATTAATTAAACTAATAAAAGTAAACCTAATTTACTAAGAAAATATTTTTAAATAAACCCTAAATCTATTAATTGATTAAAAAGAAATTAAATTTATAAGAAAAGCATTTTTTTTGTTTTTTTGTCTTGGAAATAAATTATAGTGTTGTAAAATATTTTTTGGCTTTTTTTATATTAAAATAAATATATTTTAATTAGTGTAAAAGAAAATAAATAATAACCTAGTTTTAAATTAAATTTACAAGACTAGTTAGTAAAAATAAATAAAGTATAGAATAAAATATTTTTTTGTGTGAGAAAAATATTTAAATTATGTCAAAACATAAATCTACTATTTTATATTTTTTATGATTTTTAGTATTTTAGAAAATATATTTAAAAGAGAAAAATGAACTAAATAAATAAATAAATACAAATGGGCCAGGGGGGTGCCAAAAGTCAGGATGGGGGTCAGCAAAAGAAAAAATTATAAAGCCCACTTGTTGGAAGCCTAGGCGCCTAGTTGAACAAAAAATGAGAAAAAATGCTGAAAAATAATGGCAAAAGGTAGCGCTGAGTATCAAACTCAAGACCTTTCATACACACCATGCTACATTTGCCACTAGGGTGGCTGTACATCTGTTAATACAAATGAAACAATAAATACATAAGGTAAAACGTCTCCATGACTTGTACTTCGTCTTCAACCTTCAGCCAGTCGGGCCATCTGTATCTCATTCATTTCTCAACAAAAATGAAAAATGCAAACATGAAAGTTGTGCTATTTTTCCTCACGAATCTAACCATATAACTTATGTAAGCTAAAAGTCAAAGATGAAGATTAATTTTGCTGGCCCTAAATTGAGACCTAATTTTTTCAGAAAATTAAAATCTGAAATTCTCTACATACAATCAATATAAATGAAAACTATGAACATGGTCAGTTTTAGAGCAATGATATCTACATTTTATCTTCACAAATCAGAAACAAATGATGCCTGTATGAAGAGATGGAAGTTTGAAAACTTACCTCTTGCAGTTGGAATCGTGAATGGAGTTTGAGCCACTTTGGAGATGGCCTGACAATCTGTTTAGCTTACCTGGACCTCCTTGAGTGTATTCCAACTCTTACTTTGCTTTGAAAGTCCCTGAATCTCCCTACTCAAGTCAACCTGCAAGCTTGATATTTGAAAATGGTGGATAGTGATACAGGGGTTACAGTCTTGAAACAGGGGGCCTGGATCACTTGTGTATGATGTATGTAAGGTGTTTGAATGATTAAGAATCAAAACACACGAGTGGAAATGGAGATGGAGTCTTGGCTCAAAACTGTCAAGTTGAGCAGTCTTGTGCAGCAAAGGTGTTTGGGACAGTTTTTGGATGCTTGAAATCATTCCTTAGCTTGCAATAAACTTGTTAATATGTATGGAAAATATTAGAGCACAAAAGCACTCCAGTTTTCTGAGTTATAGGGTTATGGCTCTATAACTTGCTTTCGAAGAAAAGTGAAATGACAAATCTAAAGTATTGTGCAAGCATGTTCTGAGCTTTCTTAGGTCCTAGACACGTTGCTTTTGGTTTATAGGAGTTATGTTTGCAGAAAGAGCAAGTTAGAAGCTCAAGACAAGTTGACTTTGTGATTAAAGCAACTTTTCATGAATGGAATGGTAGCTTTCTTCCAAAAATGGCAAATTGGCTTGGACAATGCTTGGAACACTTGGATAATAGCTCAAAAGCAAGTTTAATCTTCTGATTATGGAGAGATCTTGAGGTTTAGAGGCCTGCAAAACAAGATTGTGCAGCATAGGTTTGAAATTGGATTTTTGTTCATCACAAAATGCCTTGTGATTCAAGTGACAAAACACCAACTTCATCTCTTTGATTCTCCATACTTAAGAATGATCTCAAGGAGTTCTTGGACATTTTAGAAAGCTTGCAATGTTCTCTACAACCCATATTTGAATTTATTTTGAAGATTCGCCTTGGAACTATATGAAAAAGTGCCATGAAGTTAGGTCAAAATCCTGGCCAAATTAGGGCAAAATTTCACTAAGTGTTTAGTTTCATGACTCTATGTTCTTGAAATTATAACTTGAGATCCAAGCACTTTGGGAAGAAGTTGTGTGAAGAAAAGTTGTATATTTCATGGATATCTACAACTTTCACGTTGAAAGTTTCCTTTGAATCATCATGCATCATGTTGAAAAATTGGCTCAAAGTTGTAAAAAAATATGAAGTTTTCACACTTTGAAAAATTTCTAAGTTTGGAAACTTTGACTTTTCAAAATGAAATCTTGACTTTTTGATTTCTTGATGAATAAGTTTCATATTTTTGACATGTTTTGATGAATTATGATTTTTGGCACTTGAGTTTGACCAAAAAGTTAAAGTTTGACTTTTCAGTATACAGTTGACTTTTGATCAATTGACTGCAAAATTCATCTAT